GCTGCACACAGCTCTCCGGTAGTTGGAAGGGGCGGAATTTACACAGACAGCTCCCGGCTTCCCCATTGAGCAGTTGTAGGATCTTGGACAAAGCCCACATCTCCTCATTGGTAAACCAGCACCTGCCTCATGGGGTCGTCCATGAGATTAAGTAAGTACATAAGAGAAGGACACTAGCTCAGGATCTGCCGCAACATAAATTCTCAGTGAGTGCTGGTTGCTGATATAAAATAACCACAGTTAACCTTCATTATAGAGATGTAAATGAGAGCTATTCTCTGCGTTCTGTGAGGCCAAAGGGAGGGCATGAGGAATAAGTTACTAAATGTTTTGAGAGCTTTGTAAAATTGGAAGATAAAATGAAATTCTTGAATTAGAATTTGAGCAAAGGATTAAGGAATTAAAATGTTATTTGAAAGTAATAGCAAACCTAACAAAAAAATTGCAAGAATAAGAGTACTACAAAGAACACCTACATACCCTTTGATCTAGATCCATCTATTAACATTTTATTCCATTTAATTGATCACTTTCACCTATCTATTGATTGATCAACTGATTGATCTATCTATTTTTATCTCATACAGTCTTTTACTGAGCTGAAACGACTTTGCATATATAATGGTATTTCTGAACATTGTAGCGTGTCTTCCCTAAGAATAGGGTATATCCTCTTATGAGAATACAGCAAGGGTCAGAAAACTTTTTCTGTAGAGGACCAGAGAGTAATACTTCAGCTTTTGTGGTTACACATTCTTCTCTGTACTTTATACAATCTTTTAAGAATGGGAAATCTATTCTTGGCTCCCAGGCCATAGCTTGTTTACCCTGGATGACAGAGGAGCTATCGGCTTCAGTACATTTAACGTTGATACCATAGTCTTATTTAGTAATATCTAACCCTTCGCAAGTTCCAGTTTTGTGAACTACTCAGGAATGTCCTTTATAGCACCTCCTTGTCTCTTTCGGAACCCAGAGCCCCACATCGGGCTTCCTGTTCGGTGGGGTGTCTGTTTCTCTCTCTCCCTCTGCCTGCCGCTCCCCCTGCTGGTGCTCTCTTCTCTCTCTGTGTCAAATCAGTAAATAAAATCTTTTAAAAAAAGAAAAGAAAAGAAAAGAAAAGAAAAGAAAAAGAAGAACCCAGTCCAGAGTCAGGGACTGTATTTAGTTATCACAGCACTTTGGTATCCTTTAATCTGGATCATCTCCTCAGCCTTTCTTTGTCTTTTACAATATTTGCGTTATGTGGAGAATACATTCCTTCCCCCCCACCCCTGTTTTCTTTTCAATAGAACATTTCTACTTTGATGCTGCCTAATAATAAAATTCAGTATTCTGATCTGAATACTATGTAAGTCATGTTGAGTCCTTCTCGGGGTATCGTATCTGGGGATACACACTGTCCCTCTACCCCTCATCAATGATGTTAGCTTTCACCTGCTGTCCAGAAGGTGTCAGATTTCTTCCCGATGTAGTTACTATGCTTCCTTTTGGATGTATTTTCACTGGAATTGTTATCCTGAGCTGGAATCTGAAGTAGAAGATATGATACAGCTAGCTGCCTAGGGTGTTATGGGCTGGACCAGGAGAAGCCGGTTGAACAATTACGGAGAAGTTGGAACTAATGGAAAGATTCAATCCGTGACTGAACTGCATCACTTATTTGAATATTTAAAATAAGGTTGTTTTATAGCGGTCTGTTTAGAAGTTTTCCCATTATACTGTTTCTGCTAAATTATGTGTGTGTTTGTGTGTGTGTGTGTGTGTGTGTATGAACAAAAACGTGGAAATAATCTTCACTGATGTGTTCCTGTTGTTGGCATCTATTCTATATATGCATGAATAAGAGCAGTATTTTTTGGTAACTGTTTGTGGGACTGGAATACAGGTGGTGATTATCCCCTTCTCTTCATATTTCAGCCTCAGCCAACAGGCAAAGAATCAATTCAAGCCATCCCCTGTCCCACTCCCCTCAAAAGAAGGGTTGTTAACATAGGGGGGCCAGGGCCTGACATTCCTTTGCCATGTGGGTCATAGGAAACTATCTCAAGAAGCATTAGCCAAACCCTAGTTCACTTTCTGACCTATGTCCTATAGGCTTTCAAGTTTCTTGCCTCCATGCAGACCAAGAATGGTTTGTCATCCAAGTTTTCCCATTTTGGCTTCCTCGCCAGTGATGAGGGGTGTAAAGTAGCTGGGTGAAAGGACTCAGAGTCAGCTAAGTCGTTTTAGATTCATAGGAGGAAGAAGTGGGAAATCATGCATGGGTGTCCAGCTCCTGCCACAGCAATGGTGGTTAGAGAAGCTGTGTTAGTTATCTATGGCTATGTCACAAATTACCCCCAAACAACAAACACTTATTATCCACAGATTCTGTAGGTTAGGAATCTGGGAACCTTAGGTGGGTGTTCTGGCTCAAGAAAGTTGTGAGCTGCAGTCAGGATGTTGGAGCTACAGTCATCTGAAGGCTTTAGTGAGGCCAGACAATCCCCAAAGATATCCCATTCACAGGGTTGTTGGCAATAGGCCTCAGCTCTTCTGCACAGGCTGCTTAAGTGCGCCCCCTAGTGATGCCAGAGGGAGGAACAGGCAAAAGCCGTAATGCCTCTAAAAAACTAGCCTTGAGAATGACATACCATCACTTCTACTGTGTTCTTTTGACCACATAAGCCAACCCTGAGACAATGAAGGAAGGGGCTACCCAGGAGCATAAATGCCGGGAGTTGGGGAAGTCACTGGAGAATCATAATCGTAGGTCCTAGGTTGGAGAGTAGGGAATTCTTTTTTTTTTTTTTTTTTTTTTTTTTTTTTGGTAATTTTATCTATTTATTTTACAGAGAGAGACACAGTGAGAGAGAGTGAACACAAGCAGGGGGAGTGGGAGAGGGAGAAGCAGGCTTCCTGCTCAGCAGGGAGCCCGATGTGGGGCTGGATACCAGGACCCTGGGATCATGACCTGAACTGAAGGCAGATGCTTAATGACTGAGCCACCCAGGTGTCCGCCCCCCGCCTTTTGTTTTTAGAGTAGGAAATTCTTGGTTAGTGAATAAGAAAACTCTCTGTTGTTTATATATGCTTGTCTCTCTCTCTCTATCATCTATCACTACCCCTATAAAGCCTTCAAGGGAAAAGTAGAGAATGGTAGAATTTGGGCTAAATTCCATATAATAATACATACAGAAGGTGTACAACAACTGTTTTGGGGACAGCTCATCTTCACAATCCATAAACATATTGTCATTTCCACCAGATTGTGTTCAAAGCTTTAACTTAACTCAAAGCTTGTATCTCTGTTTTCACTGCCACTAGACATGGTGGGGGGTGGGTTTACTAAATGCTTTGAGCAAATACAGTTCATCCAGAGAACAGCACAGAATGAAACAGGACTGTCCAAACACTTTTTGTTGCTTCTTCAAGTACATATATCTTCGCTTGTATATATATCTTAGTGGCTCTACCTTAACTGGCCAGGACCTTTTTTTTTTCAGGCTCTTCTCCAGTAGTTCAGCTTCACTCTAGAGCTTTTGCTGCTCTTTACACACTCCAGATTAATCTATTTGAAATACCCTTTCCCTATCTCTGATCAGAATTCTCATAATCCTTCAAAGTCTTTGGCAGATACTATCATTTTCATGCAATCCCCAAAGTGAAATGACCTCTGCATTCTTTTGGGTCTTCATAATGTTTTCTACAGTCCTTTAGTGGTACTGGCAATGAAAATGATGAGGATAATAATAACCTAATAACAGCAGATACAAGCAACTCAGAAGTTTCCATTGCCAGGCTTCATGTTAAGCAAGAAGTTTATGTGCCTTTTCCAACATACTGTGAAACAGGCATTGTAATTACCCTCATTTTTGCAACAGGAAAATTGAGATCCAAGAAGTTTAAGTAATTTGCCAAGGATCACATGCTAATAAGCTATAGAACAAGGACACAGATGCTTGGGCCAAAGCCTATATGTTTTTCTTTTCAATACCAAAGATATTGTATGATAACAATTATATTTTAGGAAAACTTATTTACAAGGAAACTGACAGAGTTTAAATGTAAAATTCAATGAATTTTAATAAGAATGTACACATCAGCCCAATCAAAATAATAAACATTTCTATCATCCCAGAAAGTTCCTTTATTCCTCTTCTCACAAAGCTCCTCCCCCAAAATCAGGGGAAAACAGCGTTATGATTTCTATCACCATAGATCAGTTTTACCTAAAAGTTTCTTTTATTTACTATAAATAAACTCATATAGTATGTACTGTTTTATGTCGGGTTTATTTCATTAAAAATTTTTCTTGAGAATCATCCATGGTGTGTGTATCAGTAGTGTATTTCTTTTTTTTATCAGAGGGCCATATTTTATTACATAAATACAGCACAGATCTTTTCCATTTTCCTGCTGATAGAAATTTGGGTTGTTTCCAGTCTTGGCTATAATGACTAAAGCTTCTATGGACATTCTTGTACAAGCCTTTGGGTGGACATACACTGGAAATTCCAAGATGAGGAATTTATGGGTCATAGTATAGGGACATATCTGCTTCTCCTACTAGATTGTAAGCATGTGCTGGGTGGGGAGAGTGAAAGGAGGCATTATTTTAAGGAAGAACATAACTTTTTTACCTGACTGTAACATAGAACTTAAGTCTTAAAACTTTCCAAAGGCAGAATTATAGAAAAGGAAGAGTTATAACACTTCTGATAATCGAACGTCGGTCTCCTACGAGCTCAGTCATGTCTACAGAGGCTACATTACAAGACCACTAATAACAGTGACATTAATGTGTTTGGGTTACACTTAGCAATCGGGTGTTTAAAGCACTTCAACCATTTGTTTCAGGTCAGCAGAGGTTAACAAGCCAGTAGTGAATATAAACATAATTGTGTTTCATGAGGCTAAATTCCCAGTTGGAAGAGCAAGGACAAAGCCCCATCAATAATCTTTACTATCCTCTAGAAGCAAGCAGCAAATGTTGGGATAAATTGATTGATACTCACTGTTGTGTTTGAAGATCCTTATGGTTGCACCTGAGAGTCGGGCCCCAAGTACAAGAGATGCATGATTTAACTCATCACTTAAAATGAGGCATCCCTGCTCAGAAAGCAAGCACACAAAACACACAAAAAAGTAAATAAAATTAGAGAAAAACAACATGTGGGAACAGAAAGACACTTAAAGACCTGTAACATACACCCCCCAAACCCTCTTTAATTTTAAAAGGACAAGTTTCCCTGATGTCTATGTGGAAAAAGCCTGTAGACAATTAGCTGATAAAGATGGGGATTATTTTGAGGGATTACATCTTTAACCATTTGCATTTGAAAAGAGTTCAAGACCTTGGTTAAATGCCAGTTACCATTTTCTAAAGAGTTAATCTCTTTAGATATACTTTGTTAATTTCTTTGGATATACTTTGGGTGGGTTGTGGTTTGCTGGGATTCTTCCATGCTGTGCTGGATTATTTGGGACAGTTTTGGTGTACTCCCTCTGAAGGGCAGTGGTCCTTTCTGCAAGGCCTTTCAAGCCCTTGTTTTCCTATTCTCATTCTCTTCTGTATTGACATCCTTGTAGATGAAAGCGTCACTGCTTTCCAGCTAAAAAGTTGCATTTGGAAAAGTGTGGATGGCAATTCAGTCTGAGGTGAGCGATAAAGATCAATCGAATTTACTGCATATAAATTATAATCGTGAAATTCATTTTCTTTTTTTAATTTGAATATTTCTGAATTTTAAAATTGCTCAAGTGAACCAAAAATGCAGAGACAAATTCTGGTGGCCATTTGTGGCCACCCAGAATCTTTGAGGTCTTGCTCATATTTTGGAAACTTCACACGCGACATGTTTTAAGTTTTGGGGGCAAGAGTCAGCAATATTCTCATACCTCCATACTCTAGATGTATGTGTGTGTATTTATAATTTTTTTAATGAGCATTTGACAGTTATTTGTAAACCTCATGATACCTCACCCCTAAATTCTTCATCATGTATTTACTAAGAACAAGGACATTCTCTGGCTAAATCACAGTGCAATGATCATACCCAAGAAATCCAAAATTCATGAAGTGCTATCACCTAAGATACAGCCTGAATTCACATTTCCCCCACTGTCCTACTGGTATCAGTGTCTTATATTATAGATGTTTTATTTCCTTCTATTTTTCTTCAATGCAGAATCTAATCAAAGATCATATATTGCATTTAGTTGTCATGAATCAGATTTTTTTAAACCTAAATCTGGTTATGACACTTGCTTACTTAAACTGAGCCAACCAAATTCCCACTTTTCCTCAGAAAGAATTTCCAGTACTCAAGCATGACTATATATGAGGCTTTTTCCAACTTGCCTTCACCTCTGGTCTCTTCCTCACCTACAACCTTACATTTTAGTTCGTCCAAAGCTCAGTGCTTTATGCATGCTGCTCTCTCTTCCTTATCTTAAAGTAAAAACTCAACAGGTGAGTAACAGATTCAGTTTCATATCACCCACTTTGCACAGACATCTTAGCTTTTCCCAAGAAAAGCTTGGAAGCAACTCTTTTGTCCTTCTCAATGGATGTGCATGGCTTTTCTGTGGTATTCATCCTATTTTATTTGGTGCATTGTTTCCCCCACTAGACTGTAAACGACATACATCTATAAGGCATAGGTCTTATTCATCTTTTTATGCCCTGTATCTTGCTTTATATGTGGACAAAGTTGTTTCTCAATAAGTGATCTGTTGAATGAATAAATGGAATGAGTGGCATGAGCAAAATGTTTTGTTCAAATAAATGCCCGATAAGCATTTTCTACATTCTAAGTGAGGACATGAGAGCCTTAAAATCTCATTGATCTTGCTAAACAATCATCAAAGATGACATTTGATCCACATTTAGGACTGCAATTCTATAAACAGAATATCATTATAGACAGATTTGCTGGACTAAGCTGGTATATTAATTTAAAAAGCTGGACATTCAATCAGCTTTTCCCAGAAAAGGACCTTCGCCATACTTCTAATGAAGGACTTGCTCAGAGTTGTAATTCTTAGGGGTAACACAGCAGAAGACAGTTATATTGACAGATTCTCACCTTTCCGACTAGTGCAGGGATATTCATTGAGTTAGTTGCAAATCCCATCCCAAAGACCATAGCTGCTTCTACATTCAGGAACTTAGCCACAAGGTTCTCCAATTCTTCATGCTTATCCAAGGTTCCTGCATGTGAAATCATGGGATGAGTGAGTCTTCTCTTCTCAACAAGTTTGGAAACTCAAAATCCAGTGCATACCCGTCACCAAAAGACACGTGTAAGAGATATATTTGCCACAGCTGCCATCAAGAAACAACCCACATGTCCACATACTGTCAAATGGACAAATTAAATACCTTGTGGAGGTATTTACATAGTGGAATTAAACACCGTAGTGAGAAGGAGGAGTCTATTATGCTATACAACAAAATGAAAAAAATCTCACAAGTATGTTGTTGAGTGCAAGAAGTCAGACACTTATACACTCATATAGGCTGGGTCCATTTATATTAAGTTTATAAACAGACAAACCGACCCTATGTGTTAGCCATCAGTATAGTTAATTTTAAGTTAATTTTGTTGCAAAAACAATGAGAGCTTTGAGAGTCTCTCAATGTTTTGTTTCTAGATTTGGGTGCTGGTTACACAGGTATGTTTGCTTTGTGAAAATCTTTTGAGCTGTATAGTTAGGATTGGCATGTTTTTCTACGTAAATACTGATAATGCAATAAAGTCTACAAAAGATACTATAATTTTTCTCTCCTCTCACCCTACCTCCCTCAAGTGATTAATTAAATTATAACCCCTTCCAAGGGGTCCTGCACTTAAATCCAAACAGATCCCATGATTTCTATAGATATTAGTAAATCTAGTTATAACTTAGCGAACCTTTGGAATGTGCTAGATTTCAAAGCCCACTATTTAGGTTATCTCATTTAATCTTAAAGGCACCATAATGCAGATATCATTACTTTACAGATTAGAGACCTGAGGTATAAAGAGGTCACAGATGAAAACCAACAGAGATAATTTGGTCTAACTCCAAAGTTCACGTTTTTACCACTCTGCTACCTTTTATATGCTTATGCTCTGATTCCTTCTCATACATTACCTCTATGCCTTACTAAGAGTAAATGTTAACGATCCTCATATTTTTCTTTTTGCCATCACTTTAACTTCTAGATCTGCTGTGTCCAATATAGTAGCCGCTAGCTACATCTGGTTAGTGCAAGAGTTTTAAATTGCATTTAATTTTAGTTAACTTTATTTAAGATTAAAAACGGAAGCACTGTAGGGTGCCTGGGTGGCTTAGTGGGTTAATCCTCTGCCTTCAACTCAGGTCATGATCTCAGGGTCCTGGGATTGAGTCCCACATTGGGCTCCCCGCTCAGTGGGGAGCTGGCTTCCCCCTTGCCTCTCTGCCTACTTGTGATCTCTGTCTGTCACGTAAGTAAATAAAATCTTTAAAAAGAAATGGAGTACTGTAAAATATTTTCCACTGAGCACAACTTTATTATTCATGTAGGATTATATTCTACTTATTTCACTTTAAACAATGAAAATTTAGCGTCCGAATTGAGATATCCAGTAAGAGTAAAATATACATTATTTTTTGAATACTTAGTACAGCAACAATAAAATAATGTAAAATAGTTCATCAATATTTTTATATTGATTACTTCTTATTTTATTTTTTTAATTTATTTGACAGATCACAAGTAGGCAGAGAGGCAGGCAGAGAGAGAGGAGGAAGCAGGTTCTCCGCTGAGCAGAGAGCCCGATGCGGGGCTCAATCCCAGGACCCTGGGATCATGACCTGAGCTGAAGGCAGATGTTTTAACCCACGGAGCCACGCAGGGACCCTATATTGATTACTTTTTAAAATGATACCATTTTGGATATTTTAGGTCAAACAAAACATATTATGAAATTAAGTTTACCTCTTTTCTTTAAACTTTTTTTAATGTGGCTACTAGAAATTTTATTATTATTTATTTTATTTTTTAAAAAGATCTTATTTATTTATTTGACAGAAAGAAAGATCACAAGTAGGCAGAGAGGCAAGCAGAGAGAGAGAGGGAGAAGCAGGCTCCCTGTTGAGCAGAGAGCCCAATGCGGGGCTCAATCCCAGGACCCTGAGATCATGACCTGAGCTAACGGCAGAGGCCTAACCCCCTGAGCCACCCAGGTGCCCCAGCTACTAGAAATTTTACATTCCACATGTGTCTTGCATTATATTTTTATTGGACAATGCTGCTCTACACGATACACTTGACAGAACATAAAAATGTACAAGTGGAGAGATGTTGTAATTTGCAACCACAGAACATAGAAGCAGATTTAACTCAGATTTAAATTAGAGGGATATTGTTAGCATATTTGGGCCTACTATAAACTTGCTTTGTTCAACTAAGGATCAACATATTTTACTATACATAGTGTGACACCAGAATTTTATTAAATTGGTAAATTATCTTGCTTACTGTGCTAACATGGTGAAGAGTTAAACTTAAGAAGGCATGGATTAGTGAGTTCAGAGTTATTTTGCATTTAATATGAAAGAGGACATTTCATGGATCATCTTTGTCCTTCCTGAGTGGTCATATTGTCATACAACAGATGGCTGATGGCCCTCTTCTTGATCTAAAATTCATTTACCCCCAAATTGTCAGAAACCATAGTTAAACAAGTATTCTAGCAGAATCAATTTTGGGGGGTAGGGAGTTAAAAATCTAAACTGTCATTTAAAACTTTATTAACAAAGAGAGAGAGAGAAAAGAAATACTAAAATTTAAAGATAAAACATGGGCACATAATCACTCATGAGATTTGTTTTTATCTAACGGAGACTGTATCCCAAGGGAAATGTCCCCAAAGATATGTAGTGAAAAGACCATTGGTCTGGGCATGACAGCCTTGGGTTCTGGCCTAAGCTCTTCCACTAAACCGTTGAGTGGCTTCTGGCTACCTTTTCTCGAAATTTCCAGAGAGATTGGGAGAGGTGCTGTTTTAGGCTTCCCTGATGTTGGGAATGGTCTTTCCTCCACATAATAGTCTTCTTGTAGATCCCACTCATTCTTTGATGTCCACCACATACGATGTCTTTTCTTGGATGCTGTTCTTAGTTTCCCCAGGCAAATTTGGTCATTTTCTTCTGAGATCACATAAGTTTCATCACATAATGATTATAGCACTTACTAAGTTGAACATTCATGAGGCCATCTTCTCTACTACAGAAAGAGCCGTTGGGGTGCCGATACTGTGTGTTGGATGTTCATCGTGGCACAGTCTAGCACAGTACTGGTACATACTAGGAGCTTGTTGACTTGCATGCTGTCTTTTGATGGAGAATAACCCCAGAACAGGGGATGTCACAGGGAAGAAGGTCAAGAGGTCACATGATGCTAGGGCAACAAGGTGATTAGGTAATGAACTCCACCTTGAAAACAACCATAACTGAAGAAGGCCTCCAGCAAGGATGGAGGATGCCCAAACATTGCCACCGTGGTAAATTTCCCCTTTCCTTTCTAGAGAGTCAGGTGACAACTGTTTACCGGCCCGGTCACCCAGAAATAATGAGTAGAACTTCACGGTGCGTCTCTATGATGTCTTCCTCCACTTTCATCTTCCCCAAGTCTGCCATCCAGGGGTTTATCTATAACAGATGCATCACTAGAAGTCCTTAGGATAATGTAGAATGTGTTGTAAGCAATGAAACAGCCAAGCAACTACTAAAAGTGGGTATATCCAAGAACATCCTGAGAAAGTGCCCTCTGTGAGTCTTCATCATTAGCCCTGGCTTGTGCAGAGGAAGAAGAGAGGAAATGCAAGTGTCCATATTAGGTCTCCAGATCCAGTCTTCTTCTGGATTTCCAATGGTCAATCAGAGAGTAAACTAATATTCAAATATACCTATTCTTATGACCACATGTCTCACAGCTGAGTTACAAGTGGTTTTGCATCTAGGGGCTTACCTTCATTTGTGGAAAATAACAGTCCCCACTCCCAACTCCCATTTTTATAGACTATCTCTATTTGGTGCTCGCAGCTCAAACTTAATAAACAGTTATGAGAGAGTCTCAGGATGTCTGGACGTTTTCTACGTCAGGAAACCATGCCTCTCAAATTCACACTGGGCTGTCTGGATGGGGTGTTCATTAAGGAATACTGAAAGTATGGCTCATATGTATTAATCGAGTGCTGCTTTCTTCCTCCTGCTCTTCACAACGAAGAACTAAAATGTAGGAAGACCTTGGGGAAACAAAGCAGTCACAAAAACTGGATGAGCTGCAAACATTAGGCCAGATCCTAATGGGGTGGAGATGTCTGAGTCATGTCAAGTTGAAGTTGGTGGTCTGAGTACTTGAGTGGTTCTAATAATTATATTCAACATTTTGTCCTTGTTATGTAAATATTGTAAGTTTTTTTAACCCCTGAAAGTAGGGCTACAGTCCTTACCCAAGGTACAGATAAATTCATATTGATTTTTATTTCTCTCTGACTTTAGTGTTTTTTTAGTCTCTGAAGGTCAACCACAGTCACAAATTGGCTAGTGACAATGGATCTCCAAATTGCTATGTTGTGCATATATTGACACTTGTTCTCATCCTGAAGGTTTATTTGCCCAATGGGATACTGAAAACCTGCTTTGTGAATAAAAGACTAAATACAAGTTGGATGTCTCCTCTTCCCAGCTCTCTCAATGGTATTTCCACATGCCAAACACTGGGCTTGCCGCCATCAGTCAAATCAATAAAAATCAGACACAGGAGAAAATACCAGTATTATGTTTATGGACTGTGTACTTCTGCTGGATTTTTACTAATACTGGCTGGCTCATACTTTTTAGTCAGAACATAAAGACTGCTGGCTTTCAAACGGATGCTGAGTAATAGTAAAGAGTGTGGGTGTTATTAATAAGCCTATTTCACCCCCACCAATTCTTCCCGTGTGGTACATGTGAAGACTATTTTCCAAACTGTGACTGTAGTCCTTTTTGTCCTGTTTGTAGATTGTTTCTTAGACTTGATCTGGGAGAAAGTTGGCATTTGTCGTCACAACCTGTCAGCAGGCTCACCTGGCTGTTCCAAATGTGCCATGGATATCATCCCAATCTGAGCCGCTTCGCTTGAACTGGGGACATGGATGTGGGAAGCTAGGGGCAGACATTGACAATGCCCTTGGT